GTTAATTATTGATATATATATGTATATTATATATATACTATATATATATAATTATTGTATATATATATAACAGACAAACTTTTGACACATACTTCCTGCACTATCTGTACAGCATATGCGTCAGAGTATAATGTCTAATATATATGTATATATATAAATATATATATGATAATATATGTATATATACAGACAACTTTGACACATAATATGCTTCTGAAATAAATATACATAAAATATATATATATTATATATATAGCCTTAAAAATAGAATATAAAATTACAACATATGGTTTCAACTACCTACTTTTAGGTGTCGCTAATAATGGCAGATATCTCTGGTATGTCAGTGTTCCTCGCTTAGCACCGCCTTCTTTGCGTGCAAACTTCTTAGGAGGATTTGCGGACAAAACAGAGTTGGTATATGTGCAGTTAGTTTTAGCTTTTTCCACCCATCTTTTTCTGCCTTTTCAAACTGACACTACCTCAAAGTGCGCCTGAAACAACAACACATACCCTTTTTAAATGATTGAATATAAACAATATTCTATTTCTCGCGGGGCAATGTGGGTAGGGTTCATTAATAAACGTTAAACACAATTTCTTTAACAGTTTTTGCATTTTGTAATTTTTACATCATCTTCACAGTCATACTCTGGAAAATACTGCACGGGACCTGCTCTATATTACCCACCAAATAATTGTCAATGTTGCCTATATACTTATATAACTGTATCGATACGAGTTTCAACCATATGGCTTACGTCGCAAAAGCCTTGCCTGTGTAGGAGGCACCCACGCACCCCCGTTCTTATTCCTTCGCTCTCAGTTTATTGCCCATCTTTTCTTCGCTCAGAATTTCTTGAAAGGAGTGCAGACGGAATCCTTTCCGATAGCTGTTCACAACAGTTTGGAGCACTAGCACCGGCTGTCATCCTATACACGCTAGAGAAAGAGAAAGGTCAATGACTAGTTTTGGATCCTTGACCTAGTGGCGTGCATTCAAAAGCATCACGTTTATGTCCGTCTGACTATCTTAAACAGCCAGTAAAAACGTCTTTTAGATATCTATATATATATATATAAGTATATACTATATATATATATGATACCGTGGTCAATTTTATCGCGCAAAAAACATGTATGTTGCATGAGAGCATTGAGACGTACTATTCACAAGCCTTATTATTCGTTCATTATCAATAATGTGTAGGTAACATGTAACACACTCGCTAGAACCAATGACTAAAGGAGCTACACACATTCATTGCGCAGACAAGGCCAGAGGTTGGGTGCGGTAGCGTGGCGATCCGGCGTGTGTGTGTGTTGGTAGCTGTGGGGGGGGGCGATAAACTTACACTGTGCACTTCGGCCAAAACGTTTATATCTAAAACTAGGGGATTTAATTTGTCGAAATTTGAGGGTTTACTTGTATCACTCTGACCACATTCTTTAACAAAAAATAGTTGTTGATAACTAAGGCTTATAGGGTCTATGATCCCCCATGGCTACGTGCCGGAACATACCCTGTAACTAGTCTAGCTGATATGGTTAAGGGTAGGGTTAGGGTTAGTGTGAGCGGTTAGTGTTAGGGTAGGGTTAGGGAGGTAGGCGTCAGGCGACTCCATAGGACTCTCAGTTCAGTAGGAGTAGGCGAGTACGTCCGGCCATATTTAATAGTAGTATTTCAGGACCAGGGTACGTTCGGGTTATACCGGACCGTACCCAGGTACGTTCCGCAGTTACCCTGGGACATAGGACCCCTCTCAGCCATAATAGGTAATCCCTATATTATTTATTGCAGTGTATGCAGTACGTTCATGCTTATGGTATATTACACAAGTATTGCATGGTGGTCGAGAGCAACATTGATTTTTTCAAGACCACTTAGAAATTTATAACTATTGAGAAATTGAGTGTCAACACCTCTGGATTGGATTTGTCAGTAATGTCTTACGTACGGGCTGGCTGTTTTTTTCTGGTGTTTTCACTATTTTGTACATTGCTACCAGATTCGGACGATTTACTGTCCTTGCCATGCTCCACTGTTTGCAAACATCTTGTTGCAGCAGACCATCTAGGCAATTTGTGATGCGCGAAATTGTTTATGCTAAGTGGCCACACCATTCAGTAGGTGACATTGATGTTCCTATGGGCAACATTGATTTTTGGCCTTCACATCTTTGGGACATGACATTGCATTATACTATGGCAGATCAACGGTCTATGTCTGCCCTGTAGTTGCAACGGAACTACCCTGGGTACGGTCCGGATATACCGCGAACGTACCCTGGCAAACTATCTGATATGGTTAGGGTTAGTGGCTTAGGCCGCAGTAGGCGTAGCGACTCCTATATAGACTCGTTAGTGGAGTAGGCGAGTTACGCGTCCGACATATTAGATAAAGCTACAGCGGTACGCTCGCGATTATAACGCGACCGGTTTTTTTTTACAGGGTACCTTTCGGCATACCAGGAGACATAGACCCTCGCTATACTATGGCTGTAGGGTCTATGTCTCCCTAAGTAGCTGCAGGAACGTACCCTGAGTACGTCGAGTACGTCGCGGCATATAGATAGTATTATAGTAGACAGGACGGGACGAGTGCCCAAGGATAGAGAACCATGAGTTCCAATAGTAAACCAAGGGCGCTTGGCTAATACCCTGACCTTAACCCTAATTCCTAAACCCTAACCTATTATACTTGATGTAAAATGACATTGGTTTTATTGCGGGACCCATGTTCTCTATCCCTTGAACCGTACGACGTGATTCTTTACTTCGATCAAACATGGTCGCATGCTCAAGTGCAAGGATGAGCCAAGATATTCACTAAATAAGAGAGTACATAGCATATGCCTCTTATTTCTAGAAGCTAAACTAATAGTATACCTTTAAGTAACCTCAAACAAACACATATTTAAAAATAAACAATAGCAAGAACGATACTCACAATTTAACAATACCGAATCAAAATAAGCCCAACCCATTTCACTTTCCTATTCGTTTTATGAAAATCCTCAACAACGAAACGAACAATGTTCGTGCGCCCACGGACTGAATGTTAAACAGCAAACAGTCTGTCGTGTTTTATATCGCCATAGTGATAATATTATTTAATTTAGGCGTCTACGCGTGGGGGGTGGTGTGTGTGTTGGGGTGCGCGCACTTGTTGAATTTTCTGAAGTAAAATAGGGCTCATGTCTTCTGCTCGACGCGCTGTAAAAGCCCTACAAACTGACGATTTCAACTATGTGCAACGTTTCGGGCCGCTTTCAGCCAGGTGTACTGGAAAGACGACGTTACATCAAGGTGCAGGTAAAATATCATCACAAAACTTCATGCGCTTTAGGCTTTAGTTGTACCGTATTTATCTATTAAGTATAAAGTCAGTACCCGTTAAGTGGGTGGTGGATAATTTTCATATCAAGGATATCTTACCTTTCTTTCCGGAAGTACTGATAGCAGTAGCTTCAACACGACGACAACGTTAAACACACAGACTACGCGATTCCGTTAGTCTGTGGCTTTAACCAAACTGCATGCAGTGCCCCTTCCCACACTCAGGATAATACCACTCGCCAGCAATGCTCAGCACTGTATTGTCTAAAGTGGCGCGGAGCCTCGGGAACATCCAGCAAATGGCAATCCAACCGGCGCGAGTCGCCGAGTCGCAACAATAACATAGAAATTTCTATGCATTGCCATGTTTTGTTGGTGGACAAATTTAGCATGTTCTTTAAGCTGCCATATGCAAAGAATGCTATCAAAGACATGTTCAGAATGTAGGTATATGCCAAGCACTCCCAACAAAATTCATTGATAAATAGTAGTAAATTACGCTGAACTTAGTTATAGTAACAGGTAATGATTTGAAAGTTGAGTAAAATCGGGGCGCATTATGTCTCTCACTATTTTATCAAATGTTCTCATAAAATATATGGCTCGGATTTTGAATTCTTTGCAGCTTTTATAAGTACACACCGCTAATTACTCAGGGACAGCAGGTAACGTGTCCGCTGTAAAAAACTCTATCATAAAAAGCGTAAGACAAATTCTTACCGGAAAAATAGCTCTGTGCAGTGGTATATTGAGCCAGAGCGAGAGCGCCACTGTCTCAATGGAGTTTTGGTTACCTTGCCCCGCCTTGCGCCACCTTTTGGATATGTGGAACGAGCTATATGTGTATTGCATTCATGGTATGACTACTAGGGCCGAGCAGGGTCTATGTCCTCCCCCAGGGTACTGCCGCGAGGGGTAAGGTCCGGGTATCGCGTTTAACCGGAACGTACCCTTGATCTTCTTATGTATCTATGGGTAATAAAGAGGTATATAACGGGAGGCCGTCTTGTATTTCACAAGGCCACGATTCTCTCTTTGGAATGACTCCCTGGGTACTATCTAATATGCCAGACGACCTCGCCTACTCCACTAACGAGTCTACGGGAGTCGCTTACGCCTACTCGCCTCAACCATATTCAAATAGTTACCAGCGGTACGTTCCCGCAGTACCCTGGGGACATAGAGTACCCTATGAGCGGTACTAGCCTATAGTATACAGATATTTAAGTGCTACGCTACCACCAGTGAAAAATTAAATTTTTTTGCTTTCCGGGCGCCTCTTCTTCTCGCACAACCCGCCGCAAATTTCGGGGGCTACTTTTTCATTGTTCCAGGCCGCCTCTTTTTCCACTTTCCAGTCGGCGACTTTTTTCCAGGGCTGTTTCCTCAAATGCTACAACCAAAGCACATAGCCTGAATACACACTCGTGGCGGCCGCGCCGCACACACCACAACAGACGTCACCGACGCAAGGCACACACGCCACGCACGCACGCAGCACGCACACACCACACTACACACACAACACACACACACACACACACACAGACACACACACACACACACGACAACACAGAGGGGGCACACACACGACACAACCAGTCAATATTCAAGACAGTTATTCATCAAGACTGACAGGACTAACATGATACATCACAACTCACAAGTCACAACACAAATGCACCTGAACTAGCCTGCAAGTACATCACAGCCGCCTTCAGCTAAAACCACAGAAACTATTACGGCTTAGCCCAAATTAGTGAATGTCCGCCTGTACGAAGCTAGCAGGATCGATTGTTAATACGCCGAAGTCTCTTCGCTGGGTTCCAAGGGCCCACGTTAAGGCCCTGGAAGCTCAGGGCGCGTTGCAGAAAGCGGCCGCGAGCACGTGCTGTATCGGCTGTGCACATCGACGCTGCGGTACGTAGCCTGCTGCGCAGGGGCTGCATTTTGATTGTGAGTATGGGGGGTGGTTTGTGTTGGTGGGTTGCTGTCGGATTGTTTCAGCTTGGTTTAGCTAAGTCGCTGATCTACTGAGTATATATATGTTAGAAGTTCGGCCATTGCTGCGCTATGAGAGAGCGGCAGCAAAACTCTTTCGTGCGAATGACAAACAAAAGCTACAATCCGGGAATGACACACGAGTGGTCCGGAGGAAAAATAATACTGTCGAATTTCATTAGGATTTTCCATGGGATTACCGTTCTATTAATCCTACGGCGGTCGTTCGGCTCCTACGGGTCTACGGTAGGCACGCCCGCAGGCACACCCGCACGCACGCACGCACGCACGCAGGACGACCACGCACGCACGCCGACGCACGCACGCACGCGCGCAAGCACACACGCAGCACGCCAGCCAGCGCACACCCGGCACACACAGGCACGCCCGCACGCACGCGACGCACGCAGGCACGCACGCGCGCAGGCACGGCACGCGCGCAGGCAGCGCACGCACTGCGCGCAGGCACGCACGCGCGCAGGCACACACGCAAGCACGCCGGCCCGCCCATGCAGGGCACACCTCGCACGCACGCACGCTGCGCGAGGCCACACACGCAAGACGCGCACAGGCACACACGTAATATATCACGCTGAGCCGGCGCTGGGCGCGCCGCGCTTGACTTGAATTGGCAATACACACATGATGCTTTAATGATAAACACTTACAGCCACCACACGTACTAGGAATTCATACGCCGCTCGCGTGGAAGCGGCTGCGGCTAGCGGCAGAGGCGAGCGAGATCGGCAAGGCCCGCGGCTCGCCCGGGCGACCGACCTGGACAATCGATCTTCCAGTGGCGACTTTTGCTTTTGGGTCGCCCCCGATATCGTATTTGCGCGGGCCTCTTATTTGGATTTCGGAGGGCGAACATCGCCCGGCCGCCCCCGTTGTATTTTGTTCCCCTGGCGTACCACGCCTCATTGTTCAGTGACCTTGGTAACCTCATATCTCATCCAGCATCGCACAGAGGACTAGCGAGAATGCATTTTAGCCTCACCTTGACATCGTCAACGCCCTGAGCTTATTGCAGTGGGCTCGTCGTCCGGTTCGCTACGTGCCGGTCCCCGTCAAACATTTCGGCTACCGTCAACCGATAACCAGGAACCGTTTGGCACATGTTTTGAAATTCGGCTATAGGGTTGGTTACTCGCCTATGCTCCCTCATATTAAACCACGTCCTATTTTGAAGCACGCCGAGTCGACAGACTTTTTTGCGCATCCCGCGCCCGTTTTTTGTTTTTTATAAACAATTATAATGGCAACAACAAACCAAGCTAAATCCCCGTGGGGTAGCACAGTCGAGCTGTGCCCCGTAGAGGCTGTCCAGGCCTCTTCTTCATACATGTCCCTATATATATATATATATATGTACCGTGTCAATTTTATGGCAAAAACACATTATGTTGCATGAGAGCATTGAGACGTACATTCAAAAGCCTTATTATTCGTTCATTATAATAATGTGTAGGTAACATGTAAACACTCGCTAGAACCAATGACTAAAGGAGCTACACACATTATTGCGCCAGACAAGGCCAGAGTGTGGGTGGGTAGGTGGGCGATGTGTGTGTGTGTGTGTGGGGGGGGGGGATAAACTTACATTGTGCACTTGTGGCCAAAACGTATATCTAAAACTAGGGGATTTAATTTGTCAAACTTGAGGGTTTATTGTATCATCTTGACCACATTTTAACAAAAAATAGTTGTTATAACTAAGGCTTATAGGGTCTATGTCCCCCAGGGTACTGCCGGAACGTACCCTGGTAACTATCTAGCTGATATGGTTAGGGTTAGGGTTAGGGTTAGTGTTAGGGTTAGTGTTAGGGTTAGGGTTAGGGAGTAGGCGTAGGCGACTCCATAGACTCGTTAGTGGAGTAGGCGAGGTACGGTCCGGCATATTAGATAGTAGTATTTAGTACCAGGGTACGTTCCGGTATACCGGACCGTACCCAGGGTACGTTCCGGCAGTACCCTGGGGAACATAGACCCTCTCAGCATAACTAGGTAATCCTATATTTATATATTGCAGTGTATGAGTACGTTCATGCTTATGTATATTACACAATTATTGCATGGTGGTGAGAGCAACATTGATTTTTCAAGAACCACTAGAAATTTATAACTATTGAGAAACTGAGTGTAACACCTCTGGATGGATTTGTCAGGTAATGTCTTAGTACGGTGGCTGTTTTTTTTCTGGGTGTTTTCACTATTTTGTACATTGTACCAGATCTGACATACTGTCCTTGCATGTCCACTGTTTCAAACATCTTTTGCAGCAGACCATCATGGCATTTGTGATGGGAAATTGTTTATGCTAAGTGGCCACACCATTCAGTAGGTGACATTGATTTTCCTATGGGCAACATTGATTTTGGGTTCACATCTTGTGACATGACATTGATTATACTATGGCAGATAAGGTCTATGTCTCCCTGGGTATTGCCGGAACGTACCCTGGGTACGGTCCGGTATACCGGAACGTACCCTGGTAACTATCTGATATGGTTAGGGTTAGGGTTAGGGAGTAGGCGTAGGCGACTTCCTATATAGACCCGTTAGTGGAGTAGGCGAGGTACGGTCCGACATATTAGATAGTACCAGGGTACATTCCGGTATAACGGACCGTACCCAGGGTACGTTCCGGTATAACGGACCGTACCCAGGGTACGTTCCGGCAGTACCCAGGGAGACATAGACCCTGCGGGCTATACTATGGCTGGTAGGGTCTATGTCTCCCTGAGTACTGCAGGAACGTACCCTGGGTACGGCGATATATTACTATTATTAGATAGTATTAGTAGTACTAGATAGGGGAAAAACAGAACGACGAGTGGCCCAAGGATAGAGAACATGAGTTCCAATGAAACCAATGTGCTTGGCTAATACCCTGACCTTAACCCTAATCCTAACCCTAACCTATTATATTGATGTAAATGACATTGGTTTTATTGGGACCCATGTTCTCTATCCTTGAACCGTACGAGTTGATTCTTACTTTCGATCAAACATGGCCGCATGCTCAAGTGCAAGGATAGCCAAGATATTCACTAAATAAGAGAGTACATAGATATGCCTCTTATTTCTAGAACTAAACCTATAGTATACCTTTAAGTAACCTCAAACAAACACATATTTAAAATAAAACAAAGCAAGAACGATACTCACAATTTAAAATACCGAATCAAAATAAGCAACCATTTCACTTTCCTATTCGTTTTATGAAATCCTCAACAAGAGAACGAACAATGTCGTGCGCACGACTGAATGTTAAACAGCAAACAGTCTGTCGTGTTTTATATCGCATAGTGATAATATTATTTAATTTAGGTCTACGCGGTTAATTTTCTGAAGTAAATAGGGCTCATGTCTTCTGTCGACGCTGTAAAAGCTACAAATGACGATGCAACTATGTGCAAACGTTGGGCCGTTCAGCAGGTTACTGAAAGACGAGTACATCAAGGTGCAGTAAAATATCATCAAACTTCATGCGCTTTAGGCTTGTAGTTGTACGTATTTATCTATAAGTATAAAGTCAGTACCCGTTAAGTGGTGGTGGATATTTTCATATCAAGTATATCTTACCTTTCCGAAGTATGTATGCAGTTACTCAACACGACGACAACGTTAACACACAGACTAACGGATCCGTTAGTCTGTGGTTAACCCAAACTGCATGCAGTGCCCCTTCCCACACTCAGGATAATACCACTGCCACAATGCTAGCACTATTTCTAAAGTGGGCGGAGCTCGCGGGAAATCCAGCAATGGCAACCAACGGCCGCGAGTCGCCGTCGAACAAAACATTGAAATTTCTATGATTTGCATGTTTGTTGGTGGACAAATTTAGCATGTTTTAAGCTGCAAATGCAAAAAATGTATCAAAGACAATGTTCAAGAATTAGGTATATTGCAAGCATCCCAAAAAATTCATGATAAATAGTAGTAAATACGTGAACTTAGTTTAGTAAACAGCGTATGATTTGAAAGTAGTAAACTGGGCGCATTATTTCATATCACTATTTTATCAAATTTCTCATAAAATAATGGTCGGATATTTTAATATCTTTGCAGCTTTTATAAGTACACACCGTATTACATAGGACAGAGTAACGGGGCGCTGTAAACTTATAGTAAAAAGCGTAAAGAAATTCTACGGAAATCAGCGCTTGTGCAGTGGTAGTATTGAGCCAGAGCGAGAGCGCCATCTGTCGTGGAGTTTGTGGTTAACCTTGCCCGCTTGCGCCACCTTTTGGATAGTGTACGAGTTATATGTGTACTGATCATGGTACTACTACTAGGGCCGAGAGGGTCCATGTCCCCCAGGGTACTGCCGGAGGGTACGGTCCGGTATACCGGAACGTACCCTTGTATCTTCTTGTATCTTGGGTATAAAGAGGTATATAAGGGAGGGCTCTTGTATTTCACAAGGCACTGATTCTCTCTTTGGAATGTACTCCCTGGTACTATCTAATATGCCAGACCGTACCTCGCCTACTCCACTAACGAGTCTAGGGAGTCGCTTACGCCTACTCCCTAACCATATCAAATAGTTACCAGGGTACGTTCCGGCAGTACCCTGGGGGACATAGAGTACCCTATGAGCGGTACTAGGCCTATAATACAGATATTAATGTGTACGTACCACCAGTGAAAAAATTAATTTTTTTCTTTCCGGGGCTCTTTTTGCAAACCCCCCAAAATTTCGGGGGCTACTTTTTCATTTTCCAGGGCTCTTTTTCCACTTTCCAGGCGACTTTTTTCAGGGCTGTTTCCTCAAATGTACACACAAGCACAGTAGCTAATACACACTCTGGGGCGCGCACGACACCACACAGACGTCAGCACGCAGGCACCACACGCACGCACGCACGCAGCACGCACCCACACACTCAACACCACACACACACACACACACCACAGACACACCACACACACACACACACACACAGAACACACACAGCACACAACAGTCAATATTCAAGACAGTTATTCATCAGACTGACAGACTACATGATAATCACAACTACAAGTCACAACACAAATGCACCTTGAATAGTGAATACATCACAGCTTCAGCTAAAACACAGAAACTATTACGGCTAGCCCAAATAGTGGAATGTCCGCCTGTACGAGCTAGGAGGATCGATTGTTTATACGCGAAGTCCTTTGCGGCTGGGGTCCAAGGCCCACGTAAGGCCCTGGAAGCTCAGGGGTTTGAAAAATGCGGCCGCGAGGCACGTGTGATGGCTGTGCACATCGACGCTGCGTACGTGCCTGCTGCAGGGGCGGCATTGATTGATAGTATGGGGGGGGGCTACGATTGTTCAGCGTGGTACTAATCACTACTAATAAATATTAGAAGGTTGGCATTGCTGGACTATGAGAGAGCGGCGCAGCAAAACTCTTTCGGGGAATGACAAAAAAAAGCTACAATCGGGAATGACACAACGAGTGTGCCGGCAGGGAAAATATACGTGTGAATTTCATTAGGATTTTCCATGGATTACGTTCTATAATCCTACGGGTCGTCTGGTCCTACGGGTCTACGTAGGCACGCCCGCAGGCACACCCGCACGCACGCACGCAGCACGCAGGCACGCACGCACGCACAGCCCGCGCACGCACGCACGCAGCGCAGGCACACACGCAAGCACGCCAGCAGCGCACACCGGCACACACAGGCACGCCCGCACGCCACGCACGAGCACGCAGGCACGCACGCGCGCAGGCACGCACGCGCGCAGGCACGCACGCACGCGCAGGCACGCACGCGGCAGCACACACGCAAGCACGCCTGCAGGCACACCTGGCAAGCACGCACGCGCGCAGGCACACACGCAAGCACGCGCCACAGGCACACACCGTATATATAGCGGCGGCGCGGCGCGCGCTTTGATTGTATGCAATACACACATGCATGCTTTAATGATAAACACTTGACAGGCCCCACCGTACTAGGAATTCTACGCGCGCGTGGAACGCGGCTGCGCTAGCGGCAGAGGCCGAGCGAGATCGGCAAGGCGGCGGAGCCCGACCTGGACAATCGATTTCCAGGGCGACTTTTGCTTTTGGGTCGCCCCCGATATCGTATTTCGGGGCTCTTTTTGGCATTTCGGGGGCGAAATCGCCCGCCGCCCCCGTGTATTTTTTCCCCTGCGACGCACCGCTCATTGTTAGTGCCTGGTAACCTCATATCTCATCTGACATGGACAGAGATAGCGAGAATGCATTTTTAGCTCACCTTGACATCGTCAAGCTGAGCTATTGCCATGGTCGTCGTCCGTCGTACGTCCGTCCCGTCAACATTTCGCTACGGTCAACGATAACCCAGGAACCGTTTGGCCCACATGTTTGAAATTGGTATAGTTGTTACTGCTATGCTCGCCCATATTAAACCGTCCTATTTTGAAGCACGCCAGTCGACAGACTTTCAAGGCCACGGCAATTTTTTGGCAAAAATGGAATTGCATGCAGTAGTCGTGTAGTTCAGGTTCAACGGATTTTGCTCATTTTTGGTATGTGACTGAATAAGAGCTAGGGGTTTTGATATTAAAAAAACAATAATGCAAAATTTTAGGTAGGGTTTGGCTAATGTATAAGGCATATAATTAGACAAACAGTGTGGTGTCACACGTCGTACTGGTTCGTTGTTAGGAAAGATTTCATTGACAATATCTTTTAATTGCAAAATTGGTATTTTTCTTTCCACCTGCCGCTAAAAGGACGTCTATATTAGAGTATAAAGTTTGAACAAAACATGTCGGAACGCAGCATAAAACTTTCATGGGTTGGATATATTCCAGGCCGGTACAGGAGATAATTTTGCATATTTTGTCACGTGGTTTGTGTTATAACCAAGTCAGATGTATATTGGCGCGTGGAGAAGGAGGGGAGAAGCTGTGGAGAATGCGAGGAGGGGGAGAAGGGAGAAGGTGGTGGAGGAGGGGAGAATCTGGTCGGAGAAGGAAGGCGGGGAGAAGGAGACAGGTGTGAGGAGGGGGAGAGCTGGTGGAGAAGGAGGAGGGGAGAAGAGCTGGTGGCAGGAGATGGGTGGAGAAGGAGGAGGGTTGTGCGAAGAAAGGTGGCGAGGAGGTGCCCTCTCTCCTGGCAGACCACCTTCTCCCTTCTGCCACCACGCTTCATCACCACCTCCTCTTCTCCACCAGCTCTCCTTCTTCCTTCTTCATTCGTTCCACCAGCTTCTCCCCCTCCTCCTTCTCCACCAGCTTTCTCCCTCCTTCCTTTCCACCACACCTTTTCCCTTTCTCCCTTCCCCCTTCTCCACCAGCTTCTCACCGCCCCCTCCTCCACTAGCTCTCCGCCCCTGCCACCACCTGTTCTCCCTTCTGCCCCCCTCCTCCTTCTCCCAACGCAGCTTCTCAACCATCCTCATTTGCGTCTCGACGACGGAACACCGGGGAGCGAAAGTTGAGAGAGCGAAGGAGCTTCGAGAGTTGCTCCCTAGGTGGAACGGCTGTCCTTCTCCGGAGCCATCGAGCTTTCCTTCAGGAGCCTCAGCTCCTATCTCAGCGCTCGGAAGCACTTCGTCGGTCCTTTTTAAGCGGGCGATCTGGTGAATGGGATGCTCGTGACGAGTGGATACGCTGTCTGGTGACTGCCCCTTCCTCCTGAAGTGCGGAGTTGTAGCATCTCAGCGTTATGTGCACAAACGCACATGACAGAATGATTGGTTATAACACAAAACCACCGTGATAAAGATATGCAAATTATCTGCCTGGTACCGGCCTGAATATAGACAAACCCATTATTTCAAAACGCCATTCGCTGACACAAGCGGTATAGCGCCATCTACGGTCACAGAATTGTGATTCATTTTGGTTTATAAAATTATTATCTGGGGCGATATACAATGGCAATCGTTTCTAATAATTACGTCGATGGTTGCTCAATCAAGAACTGACCTTCTTTTTACTCACTCATTGTGTGTCCACTTTTGTGTGGTGGGTGAGCTAGCAGTGTGATTGCACACTTTCATCTCACAATAGGCAGCGTAAATACTTAAACTGCTTAGTAGTTTTTGCTGTCGGCATCGTTGGTGGCGAGCAGCAATGAATGCGGGCTCTCAAGGGTAGCTTTAAAAATGAGTGTGATTTAATTTTGAATAAGAAAATCTAAGCGCCGAAGGCGAAGGGGAGGTGGATGAGGGAGGGGGTGAGATTTTTAAAAATGGGCGGCTATTTCAGTTATTTGATGCCCTCACAGCAGCAATTTGAGAACATGAATTCTTGTTGCTTATATAAGCATGGAAAAAACAACTACAATGTTACCAGTACAAAAAAACGGCTAGACCCACTCCCAACGAACGAAGAAAAACTGGATTCTTGCAATTGCGTTGAGATTTTCGGGGACTGATCAGAGAAATGTGCATGGGAGCGTGAGATGTGCCTCTGGACATCTGGCATGATCTCACGCCAAATGCGTGAGGGCTTGTGAGTCATG